AAGAATCATTGTTTTAAAAACAAATATATTCTCTTTTGAGGATTTTCCAAGAATTCAGAGAGAGAGGGAGAGAGGGGAAGGGAGGCCTGGAAGAAGGGCAGAAGGGAAAGAAGGAGATTGAGGAAGATGGAAGAAAGTTTCTGAGTCATAATTGCTGTCTCTGATATTGAACAGCTAAGTGTGACACTGTGCATCTTTGACTCAAGTGTTCACAGGTTAACCTAAAGACATGTAAAGTTCTTGTTAGCTACATGTGTGTGACCAAGCTGTCAACCTAATCTTTCCTGTTGGCACAAATGAGATGACCCGGCAACATATTTGGATCACTGAGAATTCTTTCCCTGTTCTCCTAATTCTAAAAACTAATAACTTTAGAACTTGATAATGCGAGGTTTGAACCCCAGTCCTACATTTATTTGCTGTATGACCTTGAACAAGTTTCTTAGCCTCTCTGAGCCTCAGTTTCTTACATAACATAAGGAGTTGGCTCCTCTCTTGTATTGCTGTTAAAAGGATTAGGTATGATAAACGAATGGCAAGCGATAGGATATATTGGAGTATAAGAGGAAGCCATTTAGTATAAAACTAATTTGGCTTGACCTTGTTTTTTCCAAAAGGGCCTGACATGGCCGTTGAACAAGCATTGTATATCTGCTTTAAGCATTTGTTATGTCCCAAAGACAAGAACAAATGGCCTTAAGATAAAGATGCTACTTCCCCTACTTGGGCATTTCCTTAAGGATAAGCATCTCTCCCTAGGCTAGGAATTGATTGCTGTACCCACCCTACTGTGTCCATCCAGACAGCAGACCTACTACCTGCTGTGTGGATAGCTGCACTGTGCCGGCTAGGCAATCTTGTGACTGTTGTAAAAGGGACAGTCCTATCATATGTGATGTATGCTCTTTGTTCCAAGACGGTGTGTAACCACTCTGTACACCCAACTTCTTTGGTGCCCTTCCTTCTTTGGGGAAGGAAGGCCCCGGGCTAGCCCTCAGGTCTGGCTCATAATAAACTCACCCCAACTTTGATTTATAGATTGGTTATGGATTATTTGCATTGACAGGTAATATTTATAATTTTATAAATATCTCATGTGGTCCCTGATTTGTAGGAGGCACTCAGTGAATGGATATTGTTGTTTGCATTAGTAATTCTTTTAGTATTATTTTGCTTTTTTTTGGTAATTTATTTTTTCTATAATAGATAGGAAAATCCATAGGGAAAGATGTTGGGCCTTTTCCTTCCCTAAGTCCTTGGCTGGTACTGGTGCTTAGTAAATACTTGGTAATTGACTGATAAAAAATTCTGCGATGATTGAAAATGTGGAGTTGAGAGAGTACATTCTTGTCCATTTCTCTGGTATTAATTTTATCTAATGTTTTATGTGCTGTATAGAATTTACTGGAACTTCACAAAATGGGAAAACAGATAAAATTCAGTAATTTATGGGATAGGCAATCTCTGAACATTTCAGAAAGAATCTTTAATCCTATATATGTTGCCAGGAAATGGAGAATGGGTTATGTCTATAAAGAGGGATAGGATGTGAGGAAATCTTTCTGAGTTATGCTGGTTAGTTGTCTCTTGCATGTAATTATTTGTTTTGACCAGGGCCTCCTCCTCAGAGGACTAATGCTGTTTGGATGGCAGGCATACTGGAAGACTCTTTGACCAGAGATTCTCGGAAGTTAGTGTGCACAGGAAGCACGTGGAGAATCTTAGCAGATTGCGAGGTTCTAACCCCAGAAATCCTGATTCAGAACTTCAATCCTGTTTTGTGACTACTGATATACTGAGGTCCTTCCCAGGCCACCACCCCAGCTTGGGCCCTGTCCTGCCCCAGGTGAGACATGGAAGTGCTAGTGCCCACACAAGGGCCACTTCAGCCAGTACTGTTACCTAATGACATGGCCTTCTGAGTCCTTTCTTTTTTTTTTGGGAAGATTAGCCCTGAGCTAACATCTGCTGCCAATCCTCCTCTTTTTTGCTGAGGAAGACTGGCCTTGAGCTAACGTCCATGCCCATCTTCCTACACTTTATATGTGGGATGCCTGCCACAGCATGACTTGCTAAGAGGTGCCATGTCTGCACCTGGGATCCAAACCAGCAAACCCTGGGCCACTGAAGCAGAACGTGCGAACTTAACCACTGAATCATCAGGCCGGACCCCTGAGTCCTTTCTATTGGCCCTGCTAGCAGAGCTACAGATCCAGAATTTGCTAATTACTGTTCTCCATTGACTGATTATCCGCATCTCCTGTATGTGTACTTGGACACATCTAGTTTTTAAATCAATTTAAATCCTAGGTCCACAGCGGCTTATCTGAGTGGTTGCACATGAGATATTTCTATGCTGCTGCTGCCACCACCACTCCCTCCACCACTAAAGCTGCCACCACTAATAGTCAGGCTGCAGAAACAGCTATTGTCTATTGATGTCTTCCACATCCCAGGACCCTCACGGAGGCTTTAAAGTATCCCTTGGAGATGGATTAGTTCCTTACTGTGATACCGAATCCTTTGCTCAGAGAGATGAGGTATTATGCTCAAGGTCACAGTGTGGGTAAGCAGCAGAGCTGCGATCTGAAGCCAAATCCACCTGATTCCAAAACCCCTGCTACTTCCCCTAAAATTAAGGGAAGGCAAATTACGTCTTTTCATTATTTGTACTAAATCAATGTTAATTGCAGTATTTCAAATCTATCTGGACGAGGGAAGAGCCAGTTTTAGTTTTTCAAGGTGAAAATTTAGAATGATTTCTCACATTTGTTATTTTAGATTCTTCTTGTCCTTTTAGTGCAGAGATCTGATGTGAGGTAGGATGAATGATGTGTCACGCAAGGGGGCATACACGTCTTCAGGCATAGCCTGAACTAAAGGTTCCAAAACGCAAATGATCAAATACAAATGATAAAATACAACCTTTTAAAGTCCTCTTTCCCCTGTTAATTGTTAAACTAAAGGAATAGTATTTGCTGTGCATATTTCTAGAGGCCTTAGAAATGGAACAGCATCACCAGCAGCCTCTCTGCAGAGGACAGCCTGATAGTCCAGTGAGAATGGGACAGGCCAAAGCCGCTCAATCACAGAAACAACTTCTACTGCATTGCAGAGTCCGAGGAACCAGTACAAGGAAAACAATAGCCAAAAGCGTGAGCCAGGGCTCTGCTGGCAAAGTGGTGAAATGCAGCTGCAGTTCCAGACACACAGAGATGGCGTCTGCACAGAAATAACACAGGGAGAGCATCTGAACCTCTCTTGTAAGATGAGCAGAAAACAACCCTCCCTAAAGGTTTAAGATGAAAACTTCCTGACAGTTGAGAAAAAAATGACAAAAATATTTCCCGTATTGAGGAAACCAGGACCTGAGTACACACAAAGGAATGACCTTCAAGAGGAACCACTCACATCCAGAAGTTTCTCAACAGTGGGTGCTGGCTAGAGAAAGACACAAGGGTGATAGGCATGTATGCAGTGAGATTTTAGGGGTCCTGAGGGCCAGGTGTGTGGAACTACTCACCATCAGTCACTTCTCAGGTTGCAAATTTTTTGTCTCAGGCTTCTACTGAATTAGGAATATGATACCTGTGAAGTTTCATGGTATGGAGAAAAGAACATCCAACTCAGAAGGATAGGGTCTTATTTCCTGTGCAATCCATGTCCTCTCTTGGCCTCAGTTTACTATCTCTATCAAGAGAAGTCTGGACTACCTTAGTGCTTCTCAGACTCCGATGTGCATAGAAATTACCTGGGATCTCATCAAATGTAGATTCTGATTCAGTCATTCTAGAGTGGGGCCCCAGACTCTGCATTTGTAACTAGGTCCCAGATGATGCCAATGCTGCTGTTCTGGGGTCCGTATTTTAAATAACGTGGGACTGGATTTTTTCAAAACCTTTTAGCCTTGACATTGGGTAAAGAGAGAAAGAAACTAGGTGCTTTGATGGATAGAATTCAATAATCTCAGGATTTTAAATGCTTTTAAAAGTCTCTATTCATGTATTCATTCTTCCAAATGTTTATTGGACCACTATCTTTTTCTAGTACTCTTCCAGAAACTGAGCATACAGTGGAGAAAAAGACTGCCAAGGTCCCTGCTTTGCAAGAATCTAGTGGAAGTAGACAGGTGACAGACAAAGAAATAAGTGAACGTTATAATTCAGACTGTGAGTGAGAATGTTAACTAGAAGGTAACTTCCATGAGGGCCTGGACTTTGCTCTTGTGTCACCTATCACTTGTTAGAAAAGCATCTGAAATATTGTTACATGTTTAATAACTATTTATTTTCTGAACAAAAGAATGTCAATTGCATTAAGCGCTATTTTAAAACAACATAAAATAGAGTATGTGATTCAGAAAGACCAGGAGAGTAGTTGCATATTTTAGATTAGCAAGAGGAGAAGGCCACTCTGAAGAGGTGGCATTTGAGCTGAGTAATGCAGGACAAGAAGGAATGGACCACGTACACATTGGTTTTCTAGACAAAGGGAATGGCAAGTAAAAAGGACCTGAAATGGATTTGCTTGGCACATTCAAGACTCAGCAAGGAGACCAGTGGCTGGAGAGGCTGATGAGGACCAGCCTCAGAGATCAGTAAAAAGAGATGGACTTAGAGAGAGGTAGGCAAGGACAAGATCACGTAGGTCTTACTGCTCATGGTGAGGAATGTGGATTTTGTTTAAATGCCATGGGAGATCACAGAGGCTTTTCATGAAGTGAATGGCATAATATAAATCATATGTTAAAAACAGTGATCTGGCTAATGTTGGAGGATATAGGCAGGTAAGTGTGCAAGAAGCATGTCAGGAAGCTATTCCTATTGGGTGGTTATTCCAGTGAGGAGACTATTCCAGTTAAGAGGTTATTCCAATTAGGATGCTATGCTGGAGACTATCCTAGTTGGGGGAGTGGGGTTATCCTAATGATACTGAGCAATGGGCTTGCTCTGCTCACCATGATCTGATCCAATTAATCACAACCAGTTAGAAATCGAGAAGGAAGTTTAATTAGATTAGATGGCTAATCAGAAGACAGGTGGCTCATATTTCAAAAACCTATCTTCAAGGATTACAGAATCTTGAAGCAGTTATGTATGAAAAACGAGCAGTAAAGAGGGGGTCCAGGGATGTTGATCTCCAGGCATGACAGGCTCCAGGCATCACATTGTTCCATTCTTCTGTCAGCTGTGATGGATACCTTTAGATGTGTTTCCCACCTGTGGTCAGCCTGTTCCTGGAGAGAAACTTGGAGAACAAAGTTTTAATTTATCAAGTATTTGGGGAGAACATATGTAAGCAAAGTCTATAAATCAAGAGAGCGTGTGAATGTTCTAGAGTATGTGCAGAGCAGCGAGTAGTCACACAGAGTAGGGACTGGGGCCATTTAGCATAACAAGATGGACTCGCTTTTGCTCACTTACACTAATATTCAAGGCAAGAAATGATAGTGGTTGTATGAAGACAGTCATAGAAGAATAAGATGCATCAGGTACATAGCTTCAAGGTAGGCCTGATAGGATTGACTGATGGATTAGATGTTGGCTGGGGTTGGGGGGTGAGGTGGGTGGAGAGAAGTAAAAAGAATAATGAAGAATTCTTCCCTGCCCAATGTGACGTAGGAATATGAGAAACTTTCTAAGTCAAACTCCCTATGTTTGGATAGTTACCTTGTAGGCAGAATTTCCATGTACTGAGCTTAAACCTGTCTCCCTGAAACTTCTGACCTGAGACAGAAACTCCGATCTGAGACGCAGCTTTTGAAATTAGAGTCTACTGCCTCTACCTCCCAACAAGACCCAAACGTTTGAAGGGAGAAATTGTAACCCCTGCTCCCCTGCACGCACACCATGTGTTTGCTCTCCTCCGAGCTGAATGTGCTCTGTGTGTTCATGTGATCCTCTCATACCTGGAAGAACCTGACTTTGCTTCTAAAACAAACTTGCTTTGTGAATTAGAATCTTTCTGTGGCTCTGCCTTCTCCCCCTCTGGATGAAATTAGTTATGGTATTAGTGAGATCTGGAATCCTCAATCGCTGTTTCATAAATGTGCTGACCATTGGAATCACTGGGTGAGTTTAAAAAAATGCTAATATCTGTATCCCACTCCCAGAGAGTCTGATTTGATTGATATGAGATAAACTCCAGACATCTAGAGTTTCAAAAGCTCCCCAGTTGATTCCAGTGTGCAGCAAAATTTGAGAAATGCTGCTACTTTGATCCTCATTATTCAAAGTGTGGCCCATTGACCAGTAGCATTGGCATCCCACGTAGCTTGTTAGAAATGTAAGATTTGGCACTCCCCCATCTCTAGTCTACTGAGTCAAAATCCTCATTTTAACATAATCCTCAGGTGATGTCATTGCACATTGAAGTTTGAGAAACACTTATCTAAATCAATGGTCTTAAACTTTGGGTGCATATTGGAATCACATTGGAGAATTTAAAGAATACTGATTCCAAGCTCTATGCCAAGAGATTCTGATGAATTAGTCTGGACTATGTGCCTGAGCATTAAGGTTTTTAAAAGCTCCCAAAATGACTCAAATGTGCAGCCCAGTGAGAACCACTGCTCTCAATCTTACATGTGACAGTAATTTAACTAGTAGCCTTGAGTAAAGGTGCCTATTTTCTGTCACAGATTCCTCCTTTTAGAACACAAAACTTGGCTCTGCCACAGTGAACCAAAAAAATATTAAGAATTTACAATATTTTCTAGCAAGGTAGTTTTACATCTATATAATTAGGCCTTTGGCCACCAAGGAGATTACAAGATTGAAAAATAAGGCTGATGAGGAAAGATAAAACCTGGGAAAGAAATTTCCCAGAAAAGTGAAGGTTGGGAATTGGTTACAGTTTCAGTTCCCAGCAAGGTAATTTAACAGAATATAATGACCAGTTCTTTTCCTTTGCCACCAGAGGCACAGCCAAGACTGCAGCATGAGGGATGTTGTCATGGCACCCAGGACTATTTCCTGATGATTACTGAGTCAGTCACTCACGTGCTGTCATCCTTGGAGCTGCTTGTGCCAGGCACTGCAAGGATGAGAAGGACTCTCCTATGAGAAGCCGACTCTCCAAGGAAGATACGCCTGGTGGTCCAGATCCTGGGGTCTGTGGTAGCTAAAAGGAGAGGCAGGGTTAGTTAATATCTGTAAAGAAATGCAACCATGGGGATGTTGAGACCATCCTCAGAGGGTCCCATGGAAAAGGATGAATTATTTTCCACCTAGATGGTCAGGCCACAGAAAGCTGCCTTGTTGGATAAACTTCTCTGGATGTTACAATTTTCTTTAGTAACTTTGAAGATCTGGGCAAAGAGCAGGCTGCCCTGTGGAATTATAAAAGAATAATTAACATCTGTATAGACCTTTACTTACAAGATCTAATACTTCATTTGCTCTGCTTATACATTCTGTGAAGGTGGTGTTCTTCTCTTCTATGTAAAGAAAATTAAGAGAGGAGGTGACATGTTCTATGGATAGAGTGCTAAGTGGCAGCTCCTCAATTTGAACCCAGGTCTTCCAAGTGTAATTCCAATATACTTCTGAATTCTAAGAAATGGGCCATATTTTATCCCTGAAATACTTTACCTGTCAGCATCTTAGAAAATTTAAAAATAATCTAAAGCAGAAAGAAGTGATTCCTAGATTCATCCATGATGACCCTGGCTCTGCCTCTTAATAATGACCCACGTTAACTTGACTTTCACCACCAGGAAGGTGGCCCTGAGAGTGAGTGGGGTGTGACTGTTAATGGGTGTAGAATTTCTTTTTTTTAAAATTATTTATTTATCTTTAATTAATTAATTTTTTTTTGAGGAAGAACAGTCCTGAGCTAACATCTGCCAATCCTCCTCTTTTTGCTGAGGAAGACTGGCCCTGAGCTAACATCCGTGCCTATCTTCCTCTACTTTATATGTGGGACACCTGCCACAGCATGGCTTGATGAGCAGTGCCATGTCCGCACCCGGGATCCAAACCAGCGAACCCAGGGCCACCAAAGGAGAACGTGCGCACTTAACTGCTGTGCCCCGGGGCCGGCCTCATAGAATTTCTTTTTGAGGTGATGAAAATATTTTGGTATTAGATAGTGGTAATGGTTGTACAACCTTGTGATTATACTAAAAGCCACTGAATTGTATGTAAAAAAATCATACATTGGATTTTATGGTATGTGAATGATACAGCAATTAACAACAGTTGGAGACTTCAATACCTCACTTTCACTAATGGGTAGAACAACTAAATAGAAGATCAACAAGGAAATAGAACACTTGAAAAACCATATAAACCAACTAGACCTAACAGATATCTTTAGAATAGTGCACTCTACAACAACAGAATACACATTCTTCTCATGCACACATTGAACATTCTCCAGGATAGACAATATGCTGGACTATAAAATAGGATTTAATATATATCAAATGATTTAATAACACAGTATTTCCTATGACCATAAGGAATGGAATTAGAAATTAATAATAGAAGCAACTTAGAAAAATTCATAAATATGCGTATACAGTCATCGCCGCATAATGATGTTTTGGTCAATGATGAACCACATATATGAAAGTGGTCCCATAAGATTAGTACCATATAGCCTAAGTGTGTAGTAGTCTATACCATCCAATTTTGTGTAAGTCACTCTATGATGTTTACACAAAGAGGAAATCACCTAATGACGCATTTCTCAGAACATATCCCTTTGGTTAAGTGACTCATGACTGTATTAAATCATAAACTCCTAAATGGATCAAAGGATAAATCACAAAGGAAATTAGAAAATGCTTTGAGATGATTGAAAACAAAACCTCAACAAACCAAATCATAATGGGACTCAGCTAAAGGAGTGCTTAGAGGGAAATTTAACTACATATGCCTATATTTTGAAAAAGACCCCAAATTAATAACTTAAGCTTACACCATAAGATACCTGAAAAATAAGAGCAGACCAAACCTAACACAAGCACAATCAAGATAATAATAAAGAATAGAGTTGAAATTAATAAATAGAGAATGTAAAGCAATCTAAATGCAATTAAATGAAATGAGAAATTGGTTCTTTGAAAAGAGTAACAAAATTGACAAATCTTTAGCTAGACTGAAGTGTTTTCTCATTGGGGATCTTTCCCAAGATCTCTGACATAAATCAAGCCATATAGACTGTCAGACTCCACATGGAGTAACTTTGTCTTATGAATGAAAGCTCAGACATTATACCCCAATCACAGCAGGGAGTGGGATATTAAACATCTCTGAGCTCATTCCTTACTGGAGGGGACAGGAGAAATTATCTCTTAGACCTGACTATGGTCTAAATACAGGCCACAGAATCTGAGAGAATGTACTGTGAGATGAAGTCAAACAAAAATGCACAGTGATTCCAGGGTCAAGTCCAGAAGAGAAGGATAATTTAGCAACAGGGTGAGCTCTCAGTGGGTGAACAGCTCACGAGGTACAGGGGAAGCCAGGTTCAGTTGGGGTAGACAGGTAGCAGCCATCTGCATTTTTGATGATAAGTTTCTAGGGCTGTAGGTTAGTGAGAGTAGGTCCCGAGAAGTCAAATGTATGATCAGAAAATAACTTGCAAGTCAAATAGTGGTGGATACAGATCCTAGCCCAGGTACTTAGTGGCTGATGATCTTAGGAAGGTTATTTAATTTTTCCAAGATAACATTTCTAGTTCTAAAAGGCAAATGGCAAATCCTATCTTCCAAGGTTATGTGATGATGAAATAGGATTATAAAAAAAGCACCTTTTATAGCATTTGGCACTAAGAAGACACTTAATAGATGTGTAGATGTTGGTGTTGTTTTGCTATTGTTGTTGTTGCGTTACTACAATAGTTCCAAGGAAATTAAAGCTCAGTGGCTAATTCAGTCAGAATTTCCTTTTCATAAGCAGCACCATAGCAGAGACATGGTTTCCTGACTGGGAAGGGCCCAATGTACAGTCGTCAGGATCGACCATTACAAAATGTCATTCCACAACCCGGATGTTTTCCAATATGAAATTCCCTTGGATCATCAAGTTTTCAAATTGATTCTGTCATGCAAAGTAGTGGTTTTAATACCAAAGTGAGATCAGCCCAAAGCATCATTTTATTCAGCCATGCACTTGGAGAATGAAGGTTGAATTCTAAAATTCTGTGCTTAAACCAGCTTTCCTTTATGCCAAGCAAACTGTGGTTTTCTAGTATGGCAGTGGTCAAGTTTTACCTTTCTGTAAATTGTCTTTCCTCCTAATTCCTCCTAAATTTAGGAAGACACACTCAACAGCTATGTTACATGTGCCTAATCCTTGCCTTTTGTTAGATAAAAACAAAGTAAATATATGTTTATATCAAGGATAGTTACTTGCAAGATCAATCATTACCCTTTATTACAGACGGAGAAATAGAGGCTTAGGTATCGTGCCCAAGATCATGTAGCAGGAGTCAAGCCCAGGTCTGTTTGATTCCAAGGCCTAATATGTTCTTCCTCTACTGCCTTGCATCTACATCTAGGAATAAAGCTTCTAGGTAAAAAAAAAAAAACAGACTTCCAGTCAGGGTAAGTTTAGTGAAATGAGCACTGTCAAAGAATTGCTTATGAACAGCTCAGATGGGGAATGATTATGCCTAGGGAGAATGGATAAGTGTGCACAGAGGAAATATATTTCTATATTACATCTCTAAATCTCTTTCGCTTAAGTTTACCATCAGTTAATTCATTTACTTATTCATGCATTCCTTCATTCAATTATTGAATATCTGCAATGTGCTGGATACTGCATTCTGCAGGAAGCCAGCAATGTTTAAGACAGATAAGTAAATGCAATTGTACTCAGGTTGCGGAGCTCTCCTTGATCTCTATGATGAAAAGAATTTCTCCCTCCTCTGAAGAGCCACACACTTTTAACCAACTTCTCTGGTACCCAGTGTTCTTGGCAATGGCTTATTAGGAAGCACATAGAACCTCCTGCCACACCTCTGGGACTCTCTGCCTCTAGAAAGTCCTCCCTGCCACATTCTTCACTGCAGACCACATTTAGTTCACCATTGCCCCAAATCCTGCAGCTCTGACCCTTCTCCAAATCAAACTACCTGGGCTCAAAGGCTCTGTGCACAGCAGTTAAACATAGTGGGTTTTGCAGTCAGACTGCCTGGGTTCAAGTTCTGTCTTGGCCACTTAATAGCCATGTAATCTTTTGCAAATAACTTAATTCCTTAGACTCTCAATGTCCTCATTTGTACAATACAGTACAATTGTCCTCCAATGACAGTACTTACCTCATAGGGTTGTTATCCTAATTAAATGTGTTAACATATATGAATTTCTTAAAACTGTGTCTGGGCTTCCTTCTCCAGGAATCTTTACTGAATCTTTTTCGCTCATATAATCAAATGTAAACTAAATCTGGTATCCAAGATCCCCCCTCCTCCATCTTTTTCACTTTTCTTAAGTCCTCAGCCCTTAGACCCATCATACTGATTACCATTCCCTAAAATACATCCTGAGCTATCTGTTCCATGAATCTTTGCTCAGCCTTTCCCTTCACATAGGTTGTCCTTCCCTTTGCTCTGCACTGTACATCTTACTAATAACCCAAGATCCAACTCGAGTGCAACTTCATCCATGTAGCTTCCCTTGATGCTTCAAGCAGAATCAACTCTTCCTCTCCTGCTTGCTACCTCTACAATCCCGTCTGCTCTTCATTGACACTGCTTGGGATATTTGTACATCCTAGTCGATGATGAGCTTCTCAACGTCGTGGAACATGTTTAGTAATATTTGTTGAATAAAATGAAATTAAATTCACTTTTTAAAAAGCATAGTCTAACTCAGCAAAAAAGAACACTTGGTTTGGGGTCAATCCTTTAATTCTGTTTATATAATCTTTCTCTATGGCTCCTAGGATAATGGAGCCTAGTATGATATAGGGTTTTCTGGTTGATTTATTCTCTTATGTCACTTATGGTCTACCTAACCACATAACTATTTATGCGTCAGGGTGGTGGATATTTGAGGAGAAGTTTAGTTTATATGCCAGGCTTGAGACTTGCTTCTTGAGTCAGACAGAGACACATTCTCTGTTCAAATACTGTCCTGAATAGTTTAAAGATTCAGGACCTACAGT